AGGGCGGTAGTTTGGGAATTCTCTCTGTTCCTCTCAGCTCAGTAAGTGGCTGCAGGATGGAAGGGCAGGGAGGAAGCTTGATGTTGTCTCCATGCAGTGTGAGGCTTTGGGGCTTCTCTAGAGGAGGAGGATGGTCCTGGGTAGGGTGGGGACTCTCAGAGGTCTGGATACTTTGGATTCAGTACCAACTCACTCTTCGTTGGAAATTCAGCATCATATAAAAATTTCTAAGGGACATTCTTTGCTTTTTTTTTTTTTTAATTTTACAAAACTCTAAATCTACCCTTCCAAGAATGCATTACGGGGTCTTTTTATACTACTTCCCAAACGGTGGGAGAAAAGCCCGACAGTCACAATGTCAGCTGTCAGAGTTCCTCAGACTGGAAGACCCGTTAAAGCACTCAGTGTTGATTAGCTGAATACAGTTTTCTTTCCCACAGTCAGGTACATATTTCAGAACCATTGGGGTGGGGGTCACAATTGAGTTCCTGAAAGTATTTTTGCCCAAGTATAAGAAAAATCTGAATTCAGCCAGAGGGCCCTCCGTGTCTTCAGTCATCTGTATACCTCTATCTCTCTGTGTAACATCTGAGTGCCCAGAGATGTCCCAGACACCACTGGGTGATGCCTCCTCCCCTCTGCAGAGGGGACAGGTGAGGGGCATGCAGAATGCCTCCCGCTTTTACTGTTGGTTAGGGGCACACTGCTGGAGTTTTTTTCTTATCTGTAGTGTAAACTGATTATTGAATCATCCATTTCGGAACATTACTTGGTTTGGTTTTAGATAAGAAGTCTCCCGGGGACGAGTTTTCAATGACTTCATTGCTTCAAGGGTCCACATGGGGCAGAAGGCTGGCCTAAGATTTAGAAATGTTGAAAGAAAATCTCAGTGACATGTTAGCAAAACGGCAATTGTTAGACTCACATATCAGTTGCTGTGTGAGTTTTGTTTTGTTTGTTTTAACAAACCCTAGGAGTTGGGGGGGGGGTGAGGTCTTACTAATAAGAAATCTTTTGAAATCTCTATGATAGGAATGTCTTGCTTGTAGACTATGAATTCCAGGAAATTCAAAACAATTTTTCTATGGCATCTTTCCATAAAGAGTAAGTTTCTTCTTCTACCTGTGAGTACACAGTTCATTTTCAGAATGACTTGCAGGATTTGAGAAAATGTACATTGCTTTTTCTTATCAAGTGTAATATTTAGAAAGTGGAGAAGCCAGCTGGGCATGGCGTCACATGCCAGAAATCTCACTACTCAGGAGACTGAGGCAGGAGGATTGTGTGGGGGGTCAAGGCTAGCCTGGGCTACACAGTTTGACCCCACTCCCCACTCGAAGGAAAAAAGGAAGGTGGGAAGGAAGGAAAGAAAAGAGAATAGAGACAGCTTTTCCATCTCAAGAGTCAGAGAACCCGATCCCTGTCCTTGTCTGGCAGTGTGTGGATCAGGGTGCATCTCCCGAAAAGGAGGCTAGAAATGTGCTCCCCCCCTCAGAGGCTCCCTGAAGCTGTTCAGGGTCCCGAGGATGCTCTCAGCTCTGCTTTGAGTCGCTTTATAAAACCGTGTCTGGAATGTTTGCACACAGATAGCCTCAGTGCAGGTGGGTGCTACAGAGCTGATTAGACCAGCTGGCGTCCCTCCTTGTGGAGGAGGGGGGAGGTGGGACACAGGTGTGGCAGACCAGATTTGTTCACACTTTCTCACGTCACCAGCATTATAGACCACTCGGTGCGTGTCAACACACCTAAGTTTAGAGCAGGATCTCTGGGCGTCATGAGGAGTGGGTAGAAGGAGAAGAGAGAACAGAAACTCTAGACAGTCGCTGGAGTTGTCTGTGAAGCTGTTCCCGGGAAGAATGACCTCTTAAAGCAGACGTGCCCGTCCTAGCTCAATGAGATGAAGCCTTTTGTCTTCAATTGCGCTGCTAGAATTTCCTGCTCTTGTACAGTGGACTCCTTCACCTGGGTTCTAGGTACATTTTTCTCACGTTGGTGCAAAGTTTTGTGTGTGTGCCTATGAAGAGAGAGTTCTCAAATGCTGTGTAGCTCCCAGAGGCTCTCAGACCCCGATTATAGAACCCCTTCCCTCGGGAGGCTTCCCGCTCGTCTCCTCTCCACATCACCCCTGTTGCTTTTGAAGCTCACGACACTCAGCTTCATGTGTGTTTTCATGTGTGAGTTGGATAAAGGATTGAGGGTGGACTCTTCAAACTGCGCTTTGGATTTTTTAGAGATTGTCACATGCTGCCTGCCCCGTTTCTCAGAGGGAGATTTCTTTGTTGCAGTCTGCCTCAGCTCTTCTCTCTGACTCCCAAGGACAATATAACTATAAAAACCTCTGCAGGATTGTTTTTTTTTTTTAATTTGGGGATGGTGGCTTAAACCTTGATCCCCCTGCCTCAGCCTCCTGAGTGCTGGATTATACGTCAATCACCACATCCGGTTTGTAATTATTGTTTCTAAGTGATAACTGATCCTAGAGGTTTTCATTCTTCTGCCTTTTTTGTGTCTTTTTCTATTTTTCAGCCTAGAAGAAATTAGGCAGTTTAGCCATAGTTCTTTCAAATGTTTGGGCTGAGCTCTCCTCACATTCGGAGGGGCTTTTGTACCTTCCTGCTTTTGCTGGGATCTGGGTATCTGCATTCCCCCCCTTATGTGAGGTTTGCTCAGGTGGAGAAAGAATGGGAGAGGAAGGCTTCTGAGGATTTGGTTAGCCTTAGCTCATGGAACTTTTTGTGCCTGCCAAATGACAAAAAAAGTGGGGGGGAGTATTGAGTATTTGTATTTTCCTTTTAATTTCCCAACCATAGTGTGAATTCTTTGTTGCCAAGTGGCTTTGGGGCTTTGCCTGGGACATCTGTGCCAGAGTCAGAGAGACTCATCTTGGCCAGACATGGCCACATATTGAAGAAGGAACCATTTCCAGGAAAACTCAGAGCTAAGCTTCTTAGAAATCTTTCCTTGATTGTCGGAGCCAGGCCTCAACACTCAGACCATCTGGGGAACTTTGGACCTGAACACACCAGTGTCTGTTTCATGCATCTTCCCATTTCATAAGCTTAAAAATATTCTTGTTCATTTGAGATGTATATTTATTGATTTTACACATTTTGAGCAACGCTTTTTCATATTTAGCAGCTTTAAGAAAACATGTCTGCCTTTGGACTGAGTGCAAGCAAGGAAAGAGTCAGTGACCCTGGAGATGACAGCTGCTATTCTGTGGGCCTTGGTGGTTCTCAGTGAGCCACAGGCACACCCTACACAACCACTTACCCATTATCCAGCGTCACAGGCACACCCTGCACAACCACTCACCTGTTATCCAGCGTCCGCAAAGCTCTGTAGTTCGCAGGTGCAGAAGCCGTGCCTCCTGCCCTCCCTTTTGACAGCATGCTTCCCCTGTCGCATGTACCTCTGTGTTCAGGCAGGGCTGCAGTCTGGACATCTGCCTCCGCTCTGCTTTGATGGCATCTCTTGTGTCTGGTGGCTATCGATCTGTTTATTTCTAGATGACGATGGTGACTCTGGAGTGCACTATGTGTCTGAACAACCAAGGAACACATTAGTTTGCTGGAGCTGTGGCTGACATCACAGTTCATTTAGTACTTAGATTTGATTCTGTGCTCGCTCCAAGTCTAAAAATGGTCCTGTGAACAGAAATAACTCCCAATAGTTTGAGAATTGCTGCTTGAGATTTGTATTTTGCTGCAAATTAACTAGCTAAACCCCTTCAAACATAGCCGTTTCTTCAGCCTCTTTTCCAATCTTTTGTGTTACCTATGCATTTACAGAGTGGCTACAGGGAGTCAGTAGTGTTGCTGCCTGCAACATACTGTTATCAATACTCGATTCAAGATGCATCTTTTTGCATAGTCTGTTTGGAAATTAAGATGGGCACATTTGGTAGTTAACAAGCAATGCTATTGTACGTGTATGTGCAAACTCTCTATAGATTCATATCCCTTGTGGCATCAAGAGATGGAGAATTAAAAGATCCTGCTGGCATTTAGAAGGTGCATTTCATAAGCTAAAGCATGGGTTTTGAAAAATAAGAAAAGTGTGGTGCTTTATTTATCCATAACTTGGGCACTCTAATAAATGAAATTGGTTCTCGATTGTCTCTTAAAAACAAGGCAGAGATCAAAGTGGGCCAGCAGCCATAGGGAAAGTCCAAACAGTTGGGTTTCTATGCTCTGCTCTGGGGATTGTACAAACGTACAAACTCTGATGTGTGCAGGGGTCATCTGAGGCCAGACAAGGGCTGGATCTTCTGGGGCTGCAGCTACAGGTGGTTGAGAGCCACCACTCAGGGTGCTGGGGACCAAACTCGGGTTCTCGACAAGAGCAGTAAGCACTTCTAACCGCCAAACCACCTCTAGTGCCTCTTCTCTTTTCCGCGGAGGCTGTATATCATCACTGTTTATCCCGTCTGATCGCTGGGCTTCATGGCTTTGGAAATCCCCATTCTGTTGGTAGCTAGAAGGGGTAGGGCACTGCCCTTGGCAGCCGCTCTCTTTGCTTTTGGCAGTTTTCTTTGGCAGAGCCTACCTAACTTTGTACTGGTTGGAGGAAGTCACCTGGAAGAGAAGAAGATCCTTTCTGTCTGGGCCCAGGGGAAAAACCCACCATAGAGGATTCTATTCTCTAATCCCAGCTTAGTGTTCGTAGTTGAAGGGTGAGGAATCCCTGAGGAAAGGTCATTTTTATTCCCACGCTACCAGTTTGGGGGCACAAGAGAGTGTTCTACATTCTTTGTTCCATTCTTAGTGGGTGAGCCATGTTTTAGTCTAGATGACTGGGACTGACCAGGTGATGTAGCCGCTAGGTAGTAAAACAATGGCCGGATGTGGGCAGCATTTAGCTTAACCACGTATGGCATCATATATACATTGATCTGGAGCTGCCTGTGATGCTGTTGGCCGTGAGCCGTGACGCGTCTGGGTGCTGCCTAGGTGCTGGGATCAGCGCTGAGCTCTCTCCTTGCTTTCTTGGTCTCCTAGGTTACACTGCACCTGAGACCCATCTCCTCAGTTCACATTCACTACAAGCCTGTTGTGTTCCTGCTCAACTCCCCACAGCCCCTGGTCTGGCATCTGAAGACAGAGAGACTGGCCAATGGCGTTCCCAGATTTTTCTTGGTAAGTGTTCAACACCTTCCCCCAAAATGCTCCTAGTGCAAGTTTATAACGACTCTCAATTTTTGCAAGACATTTTGTTTCTGGAGGCAATATTTTGCTTTGTACCCAAGCGTGGCTTCCCTCGGTCCTTCCCCGTGTCCCAAAAGCTGCTGGGATTATAGTCGGGTATAGCGTGCCATTTTGTGATGCATTTTGAAAAAGAAATAATCCTTTCCATTAAAATGATACCACAGGAGATTGTGCTTTTCCTTGTGTGCAGGGGATGTCTGGATGGCATAGTTAGAAATCCGCAGAGAGCGTGTGCAGCACGTGTTACGTGGAGACACACTCGGGCATCGTTTGCACGGTGGTGCAGGACCTGCTGCCGTGCTCTGTGTGGCCTGAGTCCTGGTGTTCCCTTCCGCCTCGTGGCATTAAGAGCTCTGTCAAAGCTGTAAACAGCCTCTGCTGTGTGGTCTCTGACCACAGAATAAATACACACGAGCCCGTTTCTGTTGTATATAACTCGGGCCTCATTCCTGATACGAGAGACTGTTGACAAAGTGATACAGTGAGCTCCAAGCATGAAATCATTTGTGTTTTATTTTTTTAAAAAAGCTGGAGCCCAGCTCTTTGCAGAGTGCTCCAAATATTACCTACTATTTGTAAATCATGTCCCTTGGAGTTTGCCAGAACGTTCGACTCTGGTAGTTGTGGAGAAATGGATGGGTTGTTGGGTTGAAATGCTTGTCGTGTGATATCATGTCTGATGAGCAGCGGCGTTGCAGCTCGGCAGGGATCCCTCTCAGTGTCCTTGTGACAAAGCCCCAGGCCCCCCAGATCTCACCTTAAGCAGCGACTCTGTTAGCAGGCTTGCTTTCGCCCAGTGAATCGATGTTGCCTCTCTGGTGACTTTAGTACAGGTTCAGTTTGCTGTCACTTGCATTTATTTGAAAGGCATTTTGAACCACTCGAAGGTATCTCCCGAATGAGATGAGGATCCCCATAGCTGGAAGTCGAATAAGTGTGTAAAGTAGGAAAGATGAGGCAGCTCTTATGTGTGATAAATGCTAATTATTAAATACACGTTGGGAAATGATGGAGGAGTTGCTGTTTTGTAACCATCACAGTGAGAGCTGATCAGACAAGAATCTCCAACAGATATTAGGCCCAGTTATTGGAAAAGGAGGGGTTTGGAGGGGCTGAATATTCAGATAGTCTCAAAATACTTTTCTCACAAATTATATATTAACTAGAGAAGAAAAATTGTAACTATAGACAGTGGGGAATCATTGGAGGTACTTCAGGCAAGTGATCAGAATTAATGAAACCAGTATGGGGCAGACAGACAATGTGTGTCTAAAAATGAGGAGGAACAAATATCCCTCATGTCTTAGTCAGGGTTTCTATTGCTGTGACGAAGCCACCACAACGAAAGCAACTCGGGAGGAAAGGGTTCATCTGGTTTACCCTTCCACATCACTGCTCATCACCAAAGGATACAAAAAGGGCAGGAGCTGATGCAGAGGCCATGGAGGTGTGCTGCTGACTGGCTTGCTCCCTGTAGCTTGCTCAGCATACTTTCTTCTAGAACCCAGGACCACCAGCCTGGAGATATCATCACCTAAAGTGAACCGGGCCCTCCTCTCCTCCATCACCTACTGCTTAAGTAAATGCCCTATAGCTCTATCCTGAAGATGCCTTCATGGGTTTGTGGCATGCATGTGGAGTATAGACATGCATGCAGATAAAACAATCATTACACATAAAATTCACACACACACAGTGCAAGTTCTTAAGAGGTTAAATTGTGCCTTTCCATTAGAAATATCTTTATTTTATTTTCCATGTTCTGTGGGGAACACGTGCTGTAGGAAGCATGGGATAGCAGATACCCTGTGGGAGTCCTTCCATTTCTCTACGTGGTCCTGGAGATCAGCTCAGGTCACAGGTGTGGGAGAAGGTGCTGCCACTCAACTGAGCGAGCTCACCAGCCCTAATTGTGCCTTTTTATGGAGAGGAGATGTCACTGTGTGTAGTGGCCTTTCATTAGTATTTTAATAAATAAAGCTTGTCTAAAGATCACAGAGTAAAACAGCCACCCTGGTCAGCCTTACAGACTAGGCAATGGTAACATGCACCTTTAATCCCAGTAGCCACACTAGTTGCCATAGAAACTGGGTTCACACTTTTAATCCCAGCCCTAGAGAGGAATATAAGCTAGGGGAGGGCAGCTCTCAGACACAGTCTCATTCTGAGATTCCTGGAGGCAGGATTGCCATTTTGGACTGAGGTACAGGTAAGAGCCAGTGGCTGGCTGCTTTGCTTTTCGGATCTTCAGGTTAAACCCCCGTTTCTCTCCGGATCTTCAGGTTAAACCCCCGTTTCTCTCTCTCAATTTTTATTAACTGTGTATCAACTCTGTATACTTTGTAGACCAGTATGATCTTGAACTCACAGAGATCTGATGTTCTCTGCCACCTGAGTACTGAGATTAAAGGCATGCACCACCATGCCTGGCAACTTTTTTTTTAAAGACTTAAAAATCTTGCTATTTACATTTAAAAGACTGGAGCAATGATAATTAGTGGCCGTTATTATTATTAATTTGAGTTAATGCTCAGTGCGTTTGGGAATTGCGCCAAGGGCTCTAATACTTTATCTCATGTTTTTCCTCACAATAGCCCCAGGGTATCTCCTTTTTATAGGTGACTTACAGACTTAGCAGCACTAGGTTAATTTCTGGCAGGGTTTGGATTTAAACCTAAGTAAGGACCCACTCTGCAGCACATATTCTGAACTGCCACCTTCATACGTAGTCATGCAGGCCTTCTGTAATTAAGCCTGTTTGTGACGGTAAGACACAAGGCTGTTATAAAGCCATACGCATTTACTCTGCATACTGTGGTCCAGTGCTGCAGAAACTACCTATGCACCACTGTTTAATTAAATCTAAGCAGAGGTTGGTGGCACAGGCCTATAATCCCAGCTTCTCTTGAGGCTGAGGCAGGAGAATCACAAAGACTGTGAGCTGTTTAGTAAAGTCGAAGCTGGCTTTGGCAACATAGGCCCTCTCTCAAAAAGTGGAGAGGGAGCCATCGATTGGGTAGAGCACTGACGTAGCATTCACAAGGCCCTGCATTCAAGTCTCAGAACCTAAAGAAATTTTAAGATCCAATTCTTGCGCTGCATACCCGGCCCTTGGGACTTTCTGGACCGTGGTTACCACCGTGGTAGCCAGGATAACGGCATACGTGATGAGCAGAGACTCCACCCGGACAGCGGTGGTCCAGGTGGTAATTAGGAAGACTCGTCTCTGCAAACCTTACTTTTCCAGCTGTAATTTAGGAATAATGACAGCCTTATGCTTAGAAATAAGCATTATCTCGATGTGAGGAAATTGCGTGTAAAATGTTGTGTGCAGTGCCCACCGCTGCTGAGTTCACTCACATTTGCAGAAATTCTGCTGCAATTATCAGAGCAATGAGTGCTTGGGAAGGGTGTTAAGTTAGCACCTGTAACTGTAAAGTAACAATAAATGGCTCCAGAGTTACAGTTCCCATTTCTCTGGGCTTGGGGTCCATGCTCAGTGTGGGCCACACACACTGAAGTCTGCTGACTGCTGTTGGAATCCTCCGCTCTGTGGGATTTGGAGGGAACCAGCTTTGTTAGTGTTTGTTTTCTCTGTGAGCTCTAAGAGCTCCCTCCGTCTTGACTATTAGTTGGAAATACACTAATGAAGAAGATAATTTCAGTATACAACTTAACATCCACCTTATTTGGAGTTAATTCCATGTAAGGACATCGCAGAGGGACACTGGAGAGGCAGCTATGGAGAAGTTACTAGCTGAAATTCCCGGACACCCAAGCTTGGCTTCCTTTGGCCTTCTCTGTCTGCTCATTCTCCATGGCCTGCATAGTCAGCAAGGCATCGGTTGCTGGGCCAGATCAGGGCACCACAGGTGGTTTGAGATGGCTCACAGCTGGGAAACTCCCCCTCCACAAGGCCTGGGATGAATTAGTGTCCCTCATCCATGTCACAGCCTTTGTGATGATAGAGAACCAAGAGCATGCTCAGTTTGTCCATCCCTGAAGTGTTTCTCCAAGGCGTCAGTAGCCCAGAGGCTCCGTAGAAGCTAAGCCCTGAAATTACTCAGAGGGCCTAGAACTGGCTGGGTCCCTGGACCCTCAGTCCAACATAGATACATACATGTTCTCATGCCCTTGTGACATGTAATGGCAAAGGGGTCACATGACTGTCTCCAGGCTGTCTTTTCTGTTACAGTTATGATTCTTTAGTGGTTATTAATTTTTCTTATGCAGGGTGGTGAGAAAAGTTTGGATAATGGCATCTACCAGCAAATTTAAATCAATAAGCGTTGGTTCTTTTAACTGCCTACAGCGTGTGTAATTAGTTAGAAAGACCTTGGGTTACTCAGAATGTCTCATTTGCTGACTTGTGCAATACAAAATGTATTTGGTTTTTCTGTTATTATTACACTATCTGATAGAGGCATCTGCTTTTTGTCAATTTATTGTTCCTAATCCCACAGCAAAAGCAAGAAGTGTGTCAGGGACCAGAGGGATAGGGGGATTTAGTTTTCCTTGCAAATGTAGTTGCTTTGTCCAGATTACTGAGCAGCTAGGGATGGATGGCGTGTTTCAAGGTGATTCTCAAGTCACATACAGGCACATGTCATAGCTTTGCAATATTTTCTGGGATGTCCCGAGACTATTCAGTGGGTTGGGGTTGTCCCTGTGACCCTGCCATGGGGTAGAGATCTAGCTCAGTGGTAGAGCATGAGCAGTGGGCTAGATTCCCAGCACTGCATGTGACTGGCTGCGGTGACCCATACTGTTGTCCGAGCACTAAACTGACAAATTTAAATGGCACAAAACTCAGTGGTCATGGTTCAGGCAGTGCTGGGAGCTGCCCTCAGGCACTTTTGTACAAGGCTCTTCACGGAATTGATCCCCAGAACCCAATAAAAGGTGGACAGCAAGAGCTACCGCCACAGACC